TATATATATATATATATTACTCGAGTAGCAAAATAATTTTTCAGATAGTATTTTAATAAAAATTTATGTAATATAATGTATCCTGAAGATCTATTTTAAAACCATTGGATGAGAAATACCTGTAAATCTGATGAGAAGGCATAGTTATAAAGAAAAAAACAAATAATTAAAAAAAGGAATGTAAGTAGTGCCTTGAACATTGTAGTGCCCAATGTAAAACCTACAGAGAAGAAGGAAAAATGAAAAATAGGCAGAAGATATGCAGACCACTCTGAGGAAAGCAAGTCAAAAAGAACAATGAATCATGAAAAATGCTCAGATTCACTGCTACTCAGATCAATGAAAAATAACTAAGAATGATATATCGCTTTGACATTTTTGCCATTGAATTTGTACAAATTGAAAAGGTCTATGATACCTATTTCTGCCAAGGGTGTGGGGAAAAGGATATCCTCATTTATTACTGGTAGAAGTGTGGAGTATTTTAACTTTATCTTTTTGAAAAAGAAGCTGAAACTATTTATTAAAACATCTAGGTACCTGCAGTTCTGTACTTAGAATCTTCTTCACACAGTTATTTATGACAACGTTGTTGGGAGAAGGAAAACCTGGGCACAAAGAGCGTGCACAGTAACAGGAACACAATTTAGTATAATACGGACCACTCACACACTAAATAAAAAGAAGGAATTTGGCTTATGTCAGATAACTCAGAAGGATTTCCACAAGGTATATTTTAGTGATAAAATTATGATAGCCCTAGCCAGTTTTTCTCAGTGGTTAGAGCTTCGGTCCATGGACTGAAGGGTCACAGGTTTGATTCCGGTCAGGGGCATTTACCTTGGTTGCAGGCTGAAACTCTGGCTTTGGTCGGGGTGGGTGTGGGAGGCAACCAATCACTGTGCCTCTCTCACATCAATGGTTCTCTCTCTTAAAATCAATGGGGAAAAAATATCCTCAGGTGAGGACTAACAAAAGAGAAAAAAGCCATGATATAGTAAGTGGTTCCTACTTTCGTAAAACAAATAATGCCCAGTGTGTAGATATATGCATTCAACACATATAGTGTATCCTCTACCCCAAAATGTATACATACACTATGAATAGTTATAAATACATTTTATTTTCAAAATTGAACTGTCAACTGTTAAAGTGTGTATACAGTTTTTTGGGACACCCTGTATATACATGTTTATGTATATACTAGTATAATTGAACATACAGCTGAAACTCTGTTTCAATGGGAACAGAGAAAAATAATGGAAAGAAAAACAGTAGCTTGTTAATACTGGTTATGTTATGGGATGGTTTTGAAGCCAAAGGCAGCAAAGGGGTGAAATGAGTGGGAAGGGAAAGTCAAGTAAAAGATAAAAATAAAGCGTTGGCTTAAATAGTGTTCATTGAATTAAATCCAAGTAGGTCAGATGGCGTGAAAGTTGAGAGATGGGGAGAAAAGGATTTCACCTGGAAAAACCCAGGGAAAGATTTGCATGATTGTAATCACTGGGTTCACATGTTTGACAAGAATCTGAATTTTCATGTGGATAGCAATTTGTTGTTTTACTTGGAGGATAATTTGCGATTGATACATAGCCTTTGTGACTATTTCAGCTTCTATTACTAATGTGATGGACTCATCCTTAAGGCTTTTTTTTTTACTTTATTGCAGGGAAATGTGTCTTTTTCCTGCTCACAACCCCAGTCTGTGCCTGTGACTTTTCTCAGCCCCAGGAGTTACTTAGCACTGCCAGGCTCTTCTAGGGAGGACGAGGTTGCTGCTGCTTTCCAATTTCGAACCTGGAATAATGCGGGGCTTCTGCTATTCAGTGAACTTCAGCTGGTTTCGGGGGGCCTCCTCCTCTTTCTTAATGATGGAAAACTTAAGCTGAATCTCTACCAGCCAGGAAAATTACCCAGTGACATCACAGCAGGTAATAAGCATGTTCCCGTGGGCATGTGTATGCATTTGAAAGATTTCCTTATTCCTCCATCTCTTCTCCATAAAATTTTATACGTAACAAAAAAATTAATATTTGTTTAATACATGAATACATGAGTTAATAAGATTACCAGTACTCTTCCTTAGAGGAACTTGATTGTCATTTTTTAAAAAAATATGGCTCTACACTAACAGTTCTTATTAACCCAAAGATACTTAGGGGGAATAGAAATTTCCTTCTATGACCCTCTCGCTCACTCCAGAAAAATCCACATATGCTGAGAAAATGTGTTTGGGGATAAATGTAAAAGACTTTGAAATGGACCCAAAAGTTTACTGAGTGTCTTCAGTGGAAACCAGGCATTGTCTAATGTAGCTATTAGTCTTCCTTGGTCTGTGAGAGAAAGGGGGAGGTTTTTTTGGGTCTGTATGGTATTTCTACATTAGTATGGTCAGGCCTAAATACTAAGTCAAAGTAACTTTACTTGCTGATGCATTCTGTACAGAGTTGGATATGTTTGGGGAGGATGAAAAGATTCATGCAGTTCCTCATTTGGGCACCAAAAGGATTTCTCTGTGCTTCTAGGCAATATGGTTATCATCGTAATGATTCGAAGTAGTATAATTAAAGAGATGATATGAGTGTCTGGAAAATTAATGTCTAATTTAGGTCAGTGCTTTTGGTGAAGGATATTTTTGTCTCTTCATTAAAATTATATAGTTTTTGACAAGGGATCTCCATTACATTTTCCTATATATGGAGTAATGTTTGAGCCAAGCAACTGGAGGTCACATTGGGATAAACTGCTGCATCAATTTAATAAATGATCTTTAAAAACATTTTAAAGATGCCATTGTACTACATTAACTCTGACCAAAATTAATAAGCTATGACTGGGAGGGGAAAAAAAAGTTAAAATGTGATCGAAAACTACATATATGGAAAAGTATACAAATGGATACACAAGTGTGTAGTCTTTATCTTTTGTGTTGTTCATCTATCAGTGCAGTTTAAATGTGGGAGCTGAAAATTCAATATGAATGATAATTTTTGAGAGATACTATGCTGTGACCTTTTAATGCAATGCTTAAAATGTGGTATATTTGCAGTCTTGACAAAGGAAATAAATCAGTGTCATGTTAATAATTAGTAGGTTCTCTAAAATGAGGACCTAAAAATGTAAGCCTGCCATTAATGTGTAGTTTATTGTGATTTATTTGACATCCACAGAAGTGGTTATATTCATAGCCTACTTTTCAACATTTTAAAGAAATTGCTTCAGAACAGTGCAACTGTAGTGAGCCCCTTGAAGCTAGTTCATTTCTAAACACTTTACAGGCATGTCTATTTAATAAATTACTAGTTGTAAACCTATAAAAGAATACCTTGAATGTTGTAAAAGTCTCTAAATTAATGTTTAAATTCATATGCAATATAATCTATTATTATATCACATGACTTGGTGAGCTTGTTTCCATAGCTAATAATATGGAGCTTATACTAAATATGATTGTCAGTATGAAAAATTGTCAGTATGAAAAATTGTTACTTTTCCCTATTGGTATGGCTCAGTGGTTGAGCGTTGACCCATGAACCAGGAGGTCACAGAAAGGGGCGTGTGGGAGGCAGCCATTCGATGATTCTCTCTCATCATTGATGTTTCTCTCTCCCTCTCCCTTCCTCTCTCTGAAATCAATAAAAACATACTTTAAAAATTTGTTACACCTCATATAATAAAAGCAGGCCTTTACTTACCAACTCCCCCACTCCCTTTTTTTCTAATTTCTTTAAAAATGTTAATTTTTGCCAGTTTCACTGTTATGTTTGAAAGTAGACTACCTTTAGTAGACTAAACTGAGTGGGTGGCCAGTTTATTCTCACATAGGGACAGACTTTCCACTTATGTTTCATAAGTACAGTTTTCAATAATTAAAGTAGTTATCAAAACATATATAATGGGTCTTTAAAGATAATTAGCTACTTACTGGTAGATTTGTATCATATTATGCTAAATATTCCCATTATAAAAGGGTAGCTTGATTTTTCTTAGCTATTGGAGATATAAATTACCAATTTTTCATGTTTTAAAAACTCTCAGTTTTATCTTTTACAATGGAATAAACATTAAATTGTGTTGAGGAAGAACTGAATTGTGCAAGTGTTTGAATTACCAGCCTACATTTTTAATTCAGTTTTCCCAATTGTCATTTGGAATTCTTTGAAAATATTATGTCAGAATATTATATCATTTTTGAAATATTAAAGCTATCTATCATATTGATCCAAATCATAAAACATATTAGCGATACTACATAGTCCTTCATGAAAAACTACTTTCAGTCTTTGTCACTTTTATAGATGTCAAAGCAAAAACCATTCAGATGGCATCCCAGACCCAGTGAACAATACTTTATATATTGTTATGTTGTATTGTTAATTATTTGTCCTATTTAAAACGAATTCTGTATTGTCAAGTTTGAGATTTCTGCTATGAGTTTAGCATTTCTGCCGCTGCTTTTGCCTGGGGGTGGAATTCAGGCCTGTAAACACGCTTCTGGCTCTCATGGTCGGCCGGCAGAGGCAGGCTTGCAGCGTATGAGGGGTTTCTGCATTTTTCCCGTCCCACGTATCCGCAATCCCAGTGGCCCTGGCGGTGGAGCAGCCCTGTTGGTTTGCCTCACCTGGGGAAGCCTTTTATTTTCTTTCTTCCCCCTTCTTCCTTTTTGCTTTCGGTATATTCCTCCCCTTTCAGATTGTGACCCTGTGACACCCTTAAACTCCCACTTTTCCCTAACGTGATGAGTGGCAGTGACCTCCATGTTTTCTTTCGTGGTGGCAGGAGCTATTGGTGGCGTGGATCTTTCCTCCTGGGTAGTGCACATAGCAGTGGATGCGGGAATTTCTGGCCCTGGGTCAGGGCTCTGAAAGACATTGGGAAGCAGGCAGAACACTTCAGCTGGTCCTTGAGTAATGGCCTCTGTATAATTGCCTTTTGCACCTTTGCAAAGATCCTACCGCATACAGCAGGCTTCTTTCTTCTTTATACATTATACTCCCTGGATGCCTATTATAGTCTTATGAGAGAGTGATGGTGGCTAAGCTGTCACAATATTTCTGTAGCAATTTAGGAGTGCTACCAGAAGATTATATATGAGGAGCTGATATAAATCTTTTTCTTCTGGCTGTATTTTGTGTGTTCACACAGGTTTGGGCCCGAGAAGGTGAGAAAAAGAGAGGTGTGCCGGGAGAGAGAGAGGACAAGAGAGATAATAAGGAGAGAGAAAAAAAAAGAGGAGGAGGAGGAGGGGAAAGGGAGGGAGAAGAGGAAAAAGAGAGAATAGGGAAGGAGAGAAAGAAGAGGGAGAGATTTCTGGTAAACAATCTTATTCTCTGATTTCCTTCCATTTATTACTGCATTCTTCTGTTGTTCCGTTGGGAATTGTCAATGCTTTCCACCCAAAGACCACAGTAATCACACAAGTTGGGTTTATTGCTTATTGCAACAAGAACACACACCTGGGAAACCACCGGTGTCTAAATAAAAAGGTGTGAAAGGTGATTTATTATTGGATTTTGGGTTGTGTTAACCGATTTGGGAGACATTCCAAGGAAGTAGAGAATTGCTCTAGATTAAACGCTGCCAGGAAGTGAGGGTGATTGTATGAATAGGTATCTTTGTAAATTTTATCTAGAAGGATGGAGGAATGCAATAAGGCTAACAGAAAAAAAATTAGTTGCCAATCCAGGAGTGGAAGTTTGGTATTTTTGTAGTTTTCACTGTAGCTTTGCTTTTGTCTGTGCTTAGACAAGATGATAGAGTAGGTTTGATTATTTTGGGTCCCATTTTGTTGGTGCCACACAGTAACTTTGTCTGATATTGACGTTCTGAGATTATGTTGAGCAGGAGAAGCGGAGGCCAAGCTCTGCATGCGGGCCAGCTGCCCGTCCCACCAGGGCCTCGGAGAGTGCCAGGCCAGTTCCCCGCTGTTAGCAGGTGCTTTTCTCTTTCTCAAAGTTACTGATTTAACATGAGCGCATAGGTAAAGGGACCACAGGTCCTGCAGGCAGAGGAGTGTGGGTTTGGGAATCAGCTCCCCAGACGGACGCTACCTTGGGTGACTAGTTTGTGTTCCTCGAGCCTCATTTCTCCATATTTAACTGAGAATAATAATAACAGTGTTGAAGACTAAATGACACAATCATATAAAGCACGCAGTACCAGTTATGAATAATAGTTCAATATAGCTGTTATTATTATTATTATATTATTATACTAACAACACCCCCCGCCCCAGACTCAAACATTAGAAGCGGTGGGAGCAGTGAACTGGAATTAGCATTTAGTTACCTAACATCACGAATAAGAAAAAGTACAGATTCTATTTCTCCTCCCCCTTTCCCTCTTTGCAAGCTTTTGGACGGGGCTCACTTCTCATTCCGCTTAAAAATGGGAAGGAATAACCTAGAATCTGATTTCAAAACGATCCTTTTCATTATGCATAGTTGGGTGAAATGAATTAAACAGGCCCTTCATTATAATTTGAGTGATAAATCCCAATGGCAGACAATAAGTCTCTTTATCACAAGTGAATGATGTCTGTCACCAGTGAGGCTCGAGAATCGCTTCCTGAAGTTTCCCTGCAAACAGAGCCTGGCTTCCTAAGCTGCTGGCGGAGTGGATAGATGCACTGCACTGTGTCAGGTAACAGAGTGGGCTGTCCCAACAGTTTTTTGTCTTAATTTAAATAGGTTTCCATGTGGACAAAAGAAATTCCTGAGCCTCTGACTGAATCCTCTTGTGTGCCTAACCTAGCAGTTACCTGGAGCAATGCTACTCACAGTGGAGGAGACCCCACTAGAACTGGCTCAGTGCAATACTTGTTACCAGGATGGGTATTATAAGAACACATGGCCCTGGCTGGTTTCACTCAGCCCTTAGAGCATCGGCCCAAGAACCAAAGATTTGCACGTTTGACTCCCAGCCCAGGGCACATACCTTGGTTGCAGATTTGTCCCTGGCCCCTGTCTGGGCATGTGCAGGAGGCTGCCAATCTATGTGTCTCTCTCACGTTGATGTTTCTCTCTCTCCCCCCGTCCCCCCCACCCCCCCATCTCCCTTTCTTACCCTCTTTCTACAAAGTCAATGGAAAAAATATCCTCAGATGAGGATGAAAAAAAAAAGATGAAACTCTTAGAAACTGCTATAGCAGTAAGATATTGCTATACCATCTAAGCACATGGTCAGTGGGCATGTGTTATATACATCCTCTTCATTTAATTTTTCAGCCATTCATTGTGGTTGCATTTTGTGTAAGTATCGGTCTGCAATACATAGGAAAAGAAAATGCCGATCACCACAGGTAGTTTGAGAAGCACTGCCCTGGACCAACGGAGAGCCTAAAATGAAATAACAGGAGTAAAGTCATGTACACAGGCACACCCATGCTTTGAAAAAAGATGGAAGGAGACACGTGGTGGGGCAGGGAGAGAGGGGAGGGTGTGTGTGATGCAAAACTCACAGGTGAACAAGGGTTTTCACTCTGATGTGTCCTCTGTGGGGGAAGCTCTGAATGACAAATCTGGGGCATTTGATATTAGCCCAAGCTCAAACCATCAGGGAGTATATAACTCTATTCAGCTGTCTATTTCAGAGTCTACTCTTAGCAAACATATCTAAAAGTATCTAACCTATGTTCTTCAGTTTTCAGGTCTTTTTCATTATCCTTTCCAAAGCAAACCAGAGTTGGGTCTTTGAAACTCTGTTTTGCTTCATGGATGTAAAGTGAAAATGAGCTTTGATGCCTAGGGTGGAATTTACATTCTACTAAGTGAGTCCAGAGCAAAGAGCTTAATCGCCTAAGGGAGCTTCTATGCATTTCCTGTCTGAAAGCTTGTGGTCAAAAATAGCTTGGTAAATAGTGCACATATTATCAAGAAGAGAGACCCATGACCTTTGGGTTTAATAGAGTACTTATATTTTCATTTACTAATTTGATCTGCAAGATCATACAGAGTTGACCATGATGGATGTAAAACTTACTGGTAAATCCACAACAGAGATGCCCTAAATTCCACCTGTCTGCTGAGTATTCAACCTCAGAGACTTAATTCCCTCTAGGAGGCAAAGTCTACACCATCTCATAGATTCATGACACTGGGGACTGTCTTAGGAGGGACCAGAGATTGTTATTTAGAGGCAATAAGAAAACTTTGGTTAAAGCAATATTGTATTGTATATAAACTTTTTTAATACAGGAAATTATTTAAAAATGAATATATGCCCTAACCGATTTGGCTCAATGGATAGAGCGTCGGCCTGCGGACTCAAGGGTCCCAGATTCGATTCCGGCCAAGGGCATGTACCTTGGTTGCGGGCACATACCCAGTAGGGAGTGTGCAGGAGGCAGCTGATTGATGTTTCTCTCTCATCGATGTTTCTAACTCTCTATCCCTCTCCCCTCCTCTCTGTAAAAAAATCAATAAAATAGAATAAATGAATATCAAGAACCACAATTTAACTTCATGCAAAAATTACTTTCTATTTGTAGGGCTATTTCCTTTTGGTCCTTTCCCTTATGTATACAAAAATTAGAACTATAACTATCATGGTATATAGAGAGTTAAGTCTCATTCCCAATAGTTATGTCCTATGAAGTTGATATGAACACCAGATTAGCAAACACTGAACCATTGCCCCCAGAGCCTCTGGTCACAACGTTTTTGTTAACCCATCATACATTATCATTTTTATGTACGATTCTGTGTAAAGACACCTTATTGATTCGTTAACATTGAACAAATGGCCAACAGCAAGGTAACTTATGCCTGAATGAAGCTTATGTAGCACACATCTGATGTGAAGGTACATCATAGCCTTCGCGTACTTAGGAACACTGGATAGCATTTCATCACTTGGCTCAGGGTCTTTTAAACATTAAAATCATCAACAAAAGCACAAAAATGTGAGAAGACATATTTATGTCAGAGAGCTGAAACTAGAAGCCAACTTGTCTGACTTCAGCCGTGAACACGTGTATCAGCCTCTGCTCTGTCCTTCTGTGAACGCCTCCGAAAGTGCCCTGAGTGCTGCTTTCGGGATTACACATAAATCACAGAAAGTGGGTGAAACAGCAAAGGTGGAATCTGCAAAATATGAGGCTCAACTGTGTAAATACGGTTTTGCACACTGCTTGATTTTTTAACTTTTCATTATACTAGTAAATTTTCAATATTCATTATAGTTTCTTCAAATATTTTGTAATGATTGGATTAATAAATTAATTAATTAATTTTGCTAAATATTCTTTAATATCTTAATAGGTAAAAAGTGTTAAAAAGCAGATAAATCATTTTATTGGGTATAACCTCGAATTTTCGAAAATATCTGGGATCTTCCCAAACCGCTCCCTCTTAAAGCTGAATTACATGATGGAAGCTGAAAATTGGTCCATGCCAAATAATTGAAAGATTTTAACCATTAGGATTGTCCAAATATGGAAATGTTGTTTTCTCTATTGAGGCCCTAAGAAAGGAAGGTAATAATGCACATTTCCCCCATAGAGGGTGCTATTTCCCACTTGCCTCCTTTTCCTTTCTGTTTCCTTTTATTAATAGACTAGAGGCCCAATACACGAAATTCATGCATGAGTAGGGTCTCTAGGCCTGGCCAGCGATCAGGGCCGATCTGCGGGGTGACCGGTGGGGCCCACTGACACCTGTCTTAGCTGGCCTGGTGCCACCAGCTTGCTGGCCCTGGCCTTCACCACTGCTTCTGGTTGCCTCCCTCTGCGGGGTGACTGGCAGGGCGATTGGGGGCCCCCCACTGGCACCCGCCTTGGCTGGCCTGGGGCCTGTGGGCTGGGGACAGCTCCTGCATTGAGCGTCTGCCCCCTGGTAGTCAGTGTGTGTCATAGCGACCTGTCGTTCCACTGGGTCTTTCAGCAGTTCAATCGATTTGCCTATTAGGCTTTTATTATATAGGATGTGAGTTGTACTTGATGGAGTGATGTGTATATTGCTGTTCCTCACCAACTGTTTATATTGTTCACTGTTGAGACATAACTCTTTTAACTGATTTTATCTCTCCTAGGTGTTGGACTAAATGATGGACAGTGGCATTCCGTCTCCATATCTGCCAGGAGGAATCACCTGAGTGTGGTGGTGGATGGCCAGGTGGCCTCTGCTGCTGCTTCCCTGGGGCCTGAGCAGGTTTATTCAGGTGGCACCTATTATTTTGGAGGTAAGAGAAGAGGTTGGGCTCATGGGCAGTTGAACCATATTTTCAGTTACTAGCCCTGTGTCTTGGTGATGTCATCATGTTTCACCTCATGCCAATGCTATGGAATAATGTCTCATTTTCTGTGAACATGGAAGTGGTGAGTGGATCAAGATGACAAACTATGACCTAAAAATTTTCTTTGAGGTGAACTTACTTATATTTACAGTTTCTACAATGAGATTGATTGAAATTAGGCCACCCTCTTCAGTTCTTATTTTCTTTCTTTTAAGTTTTTTTTAAAAAAATAATATATTTTTATTGATTTCAGAGAGGAAGGGAGGGGGGAGAGAGAGATAGAAACATCAGTTATGATGAGAGAGAATCATTTGAGCTGCTGCTTCTTGCACGCCCCCAACTGGGGATTGAGCGTGCAACCCAGGCATGTGTCTTTGACCGGAATCCAACCCGGGACCTCCTGATTCAGCCACTTGAGCCATGCTGGCTGGCCGGGCTTCAGTTCTTATTTTCAAACTTTGTTATATTTTCTTATATGTCTTTTTTTCTGAAGTATTTTCCTGATTGTTCCTCTTAGCATCTTCAGAGCATCCTTATTGCTTTTCTATTGCCCAGTACAGAAGGGCAATGTTATGCCAATGGACAAAATAATCTAACTTAATTAGTTATAGAAACCTCTTCTCAATGCTAAGTAATAATGCAATAACTGATACATTTGATGAAATTTGAGCATTAGCCTTCAACGCCAGGCCATCTCTCTCAGAGAACAAATGAAGCATTTACTTTTCCAGTGCATGTTTGATTCAACTAAAAACTTGGAAAGGAAAGCTTGGAAATGGAAATGCACCTTTAGCACTGAAAATTAAAATAAAATGTTATTTTCCATTAGAAAGATAAAGTTGTACAACTATTAGGCTTATTTCTAACGTGACTTGAGGTGGTTTTTTTTTCTTGTTGTTATTTTAAATTTTAATTGTTACTTCTGTCTAGACTCATTCTTGAATTTTATGGATAATATATATTTATTATATATAGATAAAATGCAAATTCCATTCTGAAAATTGACAGTAAGCATGAATCATTTATCTGATATTAAGAACAAACAAAACCCCTACATTATCTATTACTGTGAAAGGCAGCATACTGCCAACAATATTAAAAGATATAATTTCTTCCTTTAATAAAATTTGTATATTTCTGAACCAAGTTGTTAATAAAACCTGATGGGATATATGATTGATTGCCAGGTAATCCATAGGAACATATTCCTTTAAGAAATGGTAAAATACACACATCAACTTAACCAAGAGCTTTTACTTCAAAGAAAAAGATTTAGAAGCACTAACAGAGATAAGGAGAAAAAAAACAAGCATATTATCAAATGTTGCAAAAAAAAAAGATAAAAGTAATAGGCTGGATGAAAGTGTAAATCAAGAAAATGGAATCATCATTCTTAAAGTATTTTACGTCCATGTTCAGATTTAACAACGCCTACCTATTTTTTTGTAGAAAGTTTCTATTGTTTTTATTCATATCCATAATATTTTATAGTGAAATAGATCACATGTGCTCTCAGATTGCTTTTGTTGTGATGTATATTATATACACCATTATAATTAAATAAACTTTGAATTTGTGAATAGTTCTAGATTTACTGAAAAGTTGCAAAGATGTACAAGGACTTCCTATATGCCCACACCCAGTTTCTTCTGTTGTTCACATCTTACATAATATATACAATTTAAAGGCTCCTGATTATTTTTTTTGAAAATACACATTTACACACGCATTTTCCAGCTTAAGGAAGATAATATCACCAGCACCAGTTTGTCCTTCCAGGGTCATATCCCTTCATGTCTTGAATTTGGGTTATTCTTTCCCTCCTGATTTTTGTGATTTGACACCTATTAAGATGTTTCTGACTTTTTGAAGAATGCACTGTGGAAGCTTCCATAGTAAAATTCTAACTTTGGCACTTTAAAAAGATCACCAATCTTAAGTTTACTTAGGTATCTCTGTTTACTCAGTCATCTTCTCTATCTGTTTTCTTCAGTACCAGAATATGTTTGATCCTGGCATGAAGTTCTAGTCACTAAATACATCCCCTGCCAACTCCAGGGCTCCCTGACATTTCCAGGGCTGGGAGCGAGGTTTTCTGCTGCCGGCCTCCTCTTCCCAGCTTGGTGCCTCCAGGACTTGCTAGAGGTGGTCCATTCCTCTGGGAGCCCGCTTAGGGCTTTGGGGATGGGAATTCTGGATGTGGACTGGACAGTGGGGAGAAGGGTCTGAGTAGGCACATCACCTTACTTGGTGAGGCCTCATGGTGCCATGAGCAGAAGCATGGTTGGATGAAGGCTACACAAGGTCCCCAAAAGTGCAAGACAGGCATGGGACCCTGACTGCTTGATGGTACTGGCAATGGGGTGACCAGACCTCCCCAGGTTTAGCACTGAAAGCCGAGTCCTGGGAACACTCCCAGGGCAAACTGTGAGGGATGTTCACCCAGAAAACCTTCTGGTCTGTGTAGATGAGAGTTCCCTTTATCACTAGGCTGTCTTCCATAGGTGGAAGGTTTTTCTTAGGTAGTTAATTCTTCAGCCAGTTTATCTTCAAGTAAATAAATATCCCATGTTCTGACACACTTCCCATCAGTACTCCCTTGCTTGTCTTTACATTCAATGGCAAGCTTACAATTCTCTTATCAGCAAATGGTCAACCTGGCTGCAGCACCCCACTGCGGAGGAGCAGTCTGCTCAGGGAGCCTGGGTGCATCTCCATTCGCTGTCGGTCTCAGAGCCACTGTCACTGTGAGAGGGGGGGTGGCTCCTGAACTTGCAGCACTCGATGTACACCATGCCAAACTCCTCTGTCTGCCTGTCATTCTTTACTCTTTTCTATTCCCCTCTCAAATAAATGCATGTTTTTCAAAAAGACAGGCTGCATCGTAGCCAGCTTTTATCATTTATAAATGATCAATTTTAAATCTGGGTTCTCCTGATTAATTTCTGTATATTCTCCTATGCAATCTTTGTGCTATTGACTAATCCACTGTACGGCACCAGCTAGAGGTACCA